CTTTAATGTTGGTGTTCCGTTCATATTCTACTGTAAGTTGTGGGCAATCTGATTAAAATACAGATCTATATTTCGTTTCGTTTTTTATACTTTCGATGGCATACACTACACGAAGATCTAACAAGTTGTACTCGAAGGTCGGGTCAGGGATCGTACGAGCGGCTTTTGACCCTATCGCGTCAGACATTGATTAATCAATAAGCGTTGACGTTTCCAGTGGTTTACCCACCCCAGTTCCGTGCATGGCACGCCAATAAGTCGCCCTAACAGACCGTTTCATTGGCTTATCCCTCACTTCAACCAAAACGCCGGTAATATAACAATTCTTCCAGATCCTAGTGTAGTAAAGACAAGTAAAACTAAATTTTGAACAATAAAACCCAAACCAATTAGGATCTGTGTTTTAATCAGATTGAAGTTGAGAGATGGGGGCTGCCAGTTAGCATTACCAGCTTTTCTGTTTACATTTTTTATTCATTTCAGTCTTAAATCAGGAACGAGAAAAATTGAAAAGGCTCTCTGCAAACGCATTCGTCCTGCCTGTTGTTGTGAACAGGGCATGTTGACTTCGTCAATCTCTGCAGTTTGTAGTAAGAATTTGAACAACCTACCACAGCACAATTTGCCATAGCCACGAGCCCACGACGTCTGCCGTGTTTGTTTACAACAAAAAAAACCCGGAAGTGACGTCACGCATGGGTATTAATAACTGCGAATGGGTTATTCAAGCGGTCAATTAGGAGATAAACACTTCATATTTGACCAAGCTTGAATCATTAGAACACGAGTTGCTCTAATGGATAATTCAAGCATGGTTAAATGGATAATAAACCCCCCGATAACCACGAAACAGGGGCTTGTTTATCGATATTGTAGCTCAAATATATAGGGATTTTCTCCGGAACTATTTAGGAAACATTTTTACACTCATTTTAAAAAGTCGTTATTTGGCCACGTGCTTGCGTTCATTTTTCAAAATATTCTCAATATATTTAGGCCGTCCTCGCCTTCCTGCAAATTTAAAATGCTTGATTCTCGATCGTCGCTGGTAATTGAATTATTAAAGAAAATGTTATTCGAATATCGCCAAAATTTTTTGAAAGTTTGGAGTTTTAAAAAAAACCCACATGAAATTAGTCTTATTACGGTGTTTTGAGCTTAGAGTGTCAGCCTTGATTGAAATAGTTCCGACCTGTTAACCGAGACTAAAGAGGAGTAACTCTTGGCAACAAAGATGGAATCAGGCTAGCAATTATTTGACAATGCCTTCAATTTTAAATGGCTGTAACACCACAGACTGTAACTTTTTGCTCAACATTCCGTTGCTTCCAATCTTATAGGCACAATGGGGACCACATTTGGCAATCTCCTCATCCTAATTTTGTAAGGCGTTGACCGTTTAGATTTTTTGCTACGGGGATTTTTACGTTCTTATTACGTTGTTTTGATCTGACAGTGTCAGCCTTGATTGAAATATGTCCGACCTGTTAACGGAGACAAAAGAGGAGTAACTCTTGGCAACAAAGGTGACTTCGCTTCGGTAGTGTCATAATAACATTAGTAAGTTTTCACATTGTATTATTTTATTTGCATATTGTAGCTAGTTCTTGTTCAGACAACTGCCCTTCATGCTTACATCCCCCATAAAACTGTGTGGTGTCTAGGATTCTAGCGGTTGCTATATATACTGTCAATTTTGGCATAGAATTCCTGTTTATTATGCCTATTTTAGCTACTATTTTCGACTCCCTCATTATATTTTCGAGAGATTTCTTGAATGACTTATTATTATGCAGATCATGCTTGTCAGAATTTGATCAAAGTGTGATTTCAAAATTCCACCTGATTATGTCCTAAACGTTTGTGAGTGAAGAAAACAAAATTGTCCATACTGTCACTGCATAGTTACGAATAATTTAGGATACCTGAAAACTGTTTTAATTAATCTATGACTGATTCTCTACTGTTTTATGTATTTCATCATTCTAGTGATGGCGAACGTCATATTTGAATCCCGAATAACAAGTTAAATAATGATCAGTTTTCTATTGCTAGGGGATACTTTGCAATCCATTATTTTATTGTTGTCAAGCAATCGTTTTAAATTAAATCCTGAAATATCCTCATTAAAGATACCTGAACAGCTTCATATATATGTCATATTGTCAATCCCGAATAACGAACAGCTCGTTATTCGCTGCTTGAATAACAACGCGAACTGTTTTTCGCCTGGAAGTCGTTTTGGTGTGTTTTATGCTACTGGGGGATACTTGGCATCCATCATTCTAGCGATGGTTAGCTGCATATTTGAATCCCGAATAACAAGTTTAATAACAAATAACAAGGCAGTGTGTCCCTTGTTATTCGCAAATTACAAGAGAGGCTAGATCGTTATTCGATATTCACCGCTTCAATAACAATCTGGACTATAGGTTTTATACTGCAATCCATTATTCTGTTGTTGTCAAGTTATCGCTTTTAATTAAATACTGAAATATCCTCATTAAAGATACCTGAACGCCTTCGTATGTGAATCCTGAATAACGAGGCAGCATATCCCTCGATATTCGCCTATAAAGAGGCAGGTCACTTCCTTATTCGTTATTCACAGCTTGAATAAAATCTGGTTTATTGACTGATATACGTCATTTTATACTGCTAGGGGATACTTTCCAATCAATTATTCTTTTGTTGTCTATTGATCGTTTTAAATTAAATCCTGAAATATCCTCATTAAAGATACCTGAACTCCTTCATATGCGAATCGCGAATAACGAGGTGAAAAACGAATAACAAACAGCTCGTTATTCGCTGCTTGAATATCAATGTGGACTTTTTTTTCGTCTAGAAGTCTTTTTGTCGTATTTATGCTACTGGGTAATACTTGGCATCCATCATTCTAGTGATGGCTAGCTGCAGATTTGAATCCCGAATAACAAGTTGATTAACGAAAAACGAATAACGAGGTAGCGTATCCCTCGTTATTCGCGACCACCTCTTTATTCGTTATTTCGTGAATAACGAATAACGAAAAACTATTCAACTTTGGCTATAGCGTAAGAAACACCAACGCTTGAATATAGCTTAAGAAACAACTCCCACGTAAACGACAATTCCAAGGATATATTATTTACTTCAACCGTTACACATTTAATTCATAATGACTTTTATGAAATTCAGAAGAAGAAAAATAATATGTTTTTGTTTAGTTTTTGTTTGGTTTTTTCTTTTTTTTTTGGGGGGGGGGGGGGGTCATCCGAACATTACTTTATCGATGTTCACCTTAGTGTCATTATGACTAAAACTAAAATAAGACAAATCTTATCGTATTTGCATCTTTCTGATGTTCCGTGATACTTTTGGAAAAAATATAAACTTCCAGTTCCCATTATTACGATGTTGGCCATAAGTCTCCAAATTCCATAATGTACAAGTGCTTGGATAGCCATGTCTATCTGAAACTGAAATTATATCATGTTAAATTTGGGATAACTCCATTAAAATTTAGTTGTCGAATGTCGATTCTTTTAAAATACACGTGAGATACTAATAAATTTTCTCTTATAATCGATTAGACTTCATATAACCCGTCTTTGAACGAACTTTCTGTATAATCTATACAGCACGCTGCTGTATAGTCACATATTATGTAACATTTAACTTTGACATTCAGCTTAACTGACACGCTTGAATCAAAGTTTTATGAGAAATATGAACGGATTTCCTGACAAGAACAGTATTGTGCTATTACGGGTTACTATTATATAGAAATTGTTTAGCATAATACAATACAAGGCTAGAGATTAATAAACGATAACCTATATATGCGACGTTTATGGATTGAATAGATCGTTTACGTCTGTTACAGGTGTATTGTGAATAGACATAACGAGTTATAAACGTGCCTGTTGTCAGAAACAAGCTGTAGCATAATGTTTAACAATGCATTTATATATAACATACCATAAATGCAATAAGCGTTCTCGTGTAAAGACGTATACTCCGGGTTGTTTGTTACGCACTAATGTAACCGATTACACTTTTATCATAAGACGTCATTCCATTAATATACACACTTGTAATGGCTCAAAAAAGGTTTGTTATTTGTTAATTTTATATTTTATATCTTAATAGTTCCTGTCATAACGTATAATTCGGGTTGTTGTTTTTTTACACACTAATGTAACCGAATTATTCCATTAATATGCACACTTGTGATGGCTCAAAAAAGGTGTGTTATTTGTTAATTTTATATTTTATATGTGGTGGTTTTGTATTATTTAGTCGTAATAGTTCCTGTCAGTCATTTTGCTAAATGTATAACTATGGAAATGGAATAATGTTTAACGTCATCTGAATACTTGGATGAGTGGTTTTGAGATTAACTTTATTAGATTCTGAAAGGGAACATATTGGATTCAGAACTGAATATGTCAGTATGTCACAGTTTCGCGCCCAGTACTAAGTACATTGCAAACATATTAATGTAAGGTCATTGTTCTAGTGACATGCTTGAAAGTGACATTTTGATTACGGGATTTTTTTTATTAGTTTGGTTCAACGGAAGTAGTCGGTACGATCCGTGTTTGTGAAAAAGAGTAGGTAGTTCTCCGTGTTTCCCTCCTAACACACGGCATGGTCTCTAATAAATAACTGGGCGCTTATTGGAACGAAATTGACCCCACCCTACTTGTCAGTCGACCATGTAGGCATACACCACTTTGAAATACGATACCCCCCCCCCACTCCCTTAGAATTTAGGGATTTCCGAATAACATTTTAATCCACATTTAAACACAATTATACCAATTGGAAATAGATGTTAGGCTTAAAATCACACTTTCTAATTGTTTTTCACATCATGAATATAACAACTTTTAAACATTAATGCTATAAATAAATCGTCAAGTGTAAAGAAATCCATTATAGAAAAGCTTCTGTTATTGTTACTTGCCCAACCTGTTAGCTATTCAATACAACCTAGAACAGCGGCGGGGGTCATTGCTTGGGTCACGTGACAAAATGGCGCCCCTCTATTTTTGTATACTGGTGTGTAACAGCTTACAGCATGGTGTAAGTAGTATGGGTGATGTCACACCTGGATATGGTATAGGTGCCGAAACGGTTAATGACAGCGACGAGGTCAAGTTTAATTTGACCTAACTCACGGTTTGTATATAAACTGATTTTAAAAACATTGTAGATATATGGACGCTTTGAATATTATTGTCTTGTTCTAGTATGCAGCGATGTTTTTTGGGTTTTTTTTAAAATTTGTTGATATGAAATAAGTCGCCCAACCTGCCTGTAAGATTGATTAGCAAGAATATAATTACCGTTACGTAAACAATTCATAAGTGTTTGTTCATTACTGAGCTTGCATTAGGATATACGTGCACAAAGTACTTGTATATATCTAATGAATAACGATTTAACGAGTGTATATACAATTTAGATATACGGTGTAAGACACGTGCATACCATAGTACATATTGTATACCTAAGTATCATTACAGGTAAGTAAAATGCACCAGATTACTTATATAATGTTTTTAATGGGCGTAGATTTATATGCCTATTATTTTTAAAAAAATAGATTTCATATGATAATAACAAGTACATTTAGGGTATACATATTGCTATAGCTAATAACACTGTTTCCTGAGTCATATTATAAGGTTACTACTTTGCATTATAATAAAAGTCATATGCATATAACTGAAACTGAGAGAGAGAGAGGGGGGGGGGTAGGCCGAAGGGACTGACGTATAATAATTAATCTTTATTCCATAATTTGCATGTGCGTCGGGGTCTTTAAATGCAGAAGAAAACCCATAGGGTTAAGCATGTTAATCTACTCCTTGTCACATACAAACCTGTGTTGGAAACCACAACAATGAACCCAGTGACATACCTCATGATCTAAAGCCCACCACTAGGTAATAATCAATATATATAACACTATATTATTTGATATCTATATATTAGAAAGAAAATACTGCGGTATATATTTAAATCACTATACGCCTACTACAAACTGTTCAAACTATAATATATTCAAGGTTTGCGATACAGGTAGTTTATGTTTCATGCTCTAGTTGTCATGGTATAAGTATTAACAACAAAATTATATTGAGTTTATGAATAGCTTCATATCTGTTAATATGGTACATGTCATCGTTGTTAAGGAAACAATGTAAGCATTGGTGCGGATAATGTTTAATAAAATATTAAAGCTACAGAATAATATTGGCTATGTTAATGTCAGACTAAGTATAATATCTAACAAAATGGGTAAAAAGACACCGTTCGCCCTCTCTGTATACTTGATAACATAATTTGACACACACAAACATCTTTAACCTCCCTCTCTTTATCAGTTTACCGTCCGCTAGACACAAACTAGGTCATTTCGGGACTAAAAAGTAGTTCAATATACGGTATAATTTGTAAGTAAATAATTCGCTGGCTCAAAGGGGCCTTTAGCAGTGGAGAAAACTGCTGGAATCGGTCAGATGACCTTGCTCCTTCAAGCGTACAACCTTATGATCTAAACGCTCACGCGTTAGACCACTCGACCCGCTTCCCAGTCATCCTTTCAATTAAATTTAATACTATTTCCGTAATTAATTAGTAATGACAGGATGGTTCAATGCGATTGGCGTATGATTTTAAATTAGATAGTACATCTCCAACACAACACTACAACAATTTCATACAATATAGGTGACCTGCATGTCAAATTAGGGTCAACCCCAGGAATTGTCTTATGCACTGTCTTTTTCAAATTTCATCATTTGTGAGGAATTACCTTGGACATTTTGGTGGTGGGACAAGTGGTCTAACTTAAGGAAGGGCCGTAGACCATAGGCCTGTTATGTACAAAGTTATGTGGGGGGTTGGGGTCGCCTAGTGGTCTAGAGCGTCACTCTTCGAAATCTAGCTGGTCTGGTTTCAATCCTAGGTGTAAACCTATGTGGCTTGGAGATAGAGGCACATTCTTTACCCCGGTTTCCTCCCACAAGAAAGACCCTTGCGTTAAACACTAATAGCATGAACAAAGTTATTTATCGGTTATGTTTATAGAACGTAAGTAATGATATTTAGCACGAATCCTTCACATTATTCAACGACTATATTTTCATGACATTTCTACACATAATAAGGAGATTTTCCTTATGATTTCTCTAAAAAATATTGACGGTCATACGTTTGTATGTTATAAAAGATAAATTACCACAGCTATTAAAAAAACAATGACATACACCTTCAGGTATGAGTCATATCCGCGTGTTAATAACTAGATCAAATTTAAAAGAAAAAGTATTATATTAATACAGCTGATATAGGATACATTAATGTAACAGCAGGATTATTTTTACATCGTTAGTAGTAAAAGATTAATTCAAGATGTATAGAGAATAACCGATTCATAACTATTACTAAAATATGAATTCAGATTTAATGAAATCGGGTTCAACGTCCTACATTTTGGCATGGACAGGGCTGATGAAGTCAAGGAGAACCCTAACTGTCACTGGTTCGTTTTCATACACGCCAACAACAAAGGGGATCCACGAAAATCCTAAGCAACTTTCTCTTCCAGCGGCGGGATCGAACCCGAAAGCTCTCGATTAGTGAGCTAGCGACATACTCGCATATTCACTTAAACGTGTTAATCATATTTAGTGGTAGTTAAAGATATCTTCCCATGTACAAACTGGGTGGTTTGATGATATATTTGGACTAAAACATGAATTATCAAACATTTGCTTCACATTCCTTTCAAAACACTGAATGCGTTAGGAAATACCCCAAACTGTTTAAATTTTATTAAAAGAAGTCATGTTTGTGTCACGTAGCAACTAGCAACGCTGTCAAACCGGAGGCGAATTCAATGCATATAAAAGACGATTTTTACCATAAATATCCAAGCCTAAGCAAATTCTCAGATTATCCCCTGCCCACGTATTTTCTGCGGGTTTTATCTCAGTAACTGTTGTACTTTTTTAAGTCTCTCACTTTTCCACGCCCATTCACCATCAGGTTTATAAACATATGGATTTATTGGCTAATTCTGCGTACATTTTATAAAACGTGTCTAATGCTCACGTGGAAATCTGTTTAACGTTTCCATTGGTACAGGAAGTGACGTCAGTTCAAGGATAAAGAGGCACCAGTGAAACCTGTCATTACTGCATCGCAGTACTAGTTTACCTTCATTTTTAGATTTAAATGTCGAAACTTAAGTCAATTTCTATGCTGTTGTCAGGTTTATGATAAAATTACACTTTGACACGTTGGATTCGTTGTGGTACCTTATTGTGGCAGACCGATCAGTAATAACGTTAGTTTGTATGACCCCAAGTTTGTACCGGTTTTCTATTTTCAAAAGCCAATTATGTAACTTTAAATTAAAGGAAAAATATTACGCATACCTGTGCGGGCTTGAATGCTTCGCTTCACTGTTATCAATCTTGGATACGGTTTATTCTTTCACGTGAAGTATTGTTCGAATATTCATTTACATTTATACCCGAAGCATTGGCTGCGATATAATTCAGCGTTTCCAATTATATCGTTGTTAGAAGGTATTAAGATAATATGATGATCCTGGGGGGGGGGGGACCTATTTATAGATTTTGACCGCATGCATTACATCATTATGTGATACTGGCATGGTTTAGATTAAATCCATGGTGTGTGTATATTTTCTTTGTGGTTATGTGGTTATGTTTTATGTAAACACATAAAAAAAAGATAGAACAATTTGAAAAGGAAATAAGTATCGAGCGCTGTCAATTAACATGAATTTCCATTCTTATGTTGCAATCTGTAAAGTTGGTGCAACCTATGTTTGGACGTATGGAAAATGTTATTCAATTTGCCGTGCTGGTTTATGCCTCGCGAGGGAAAAATAGAATGATTTGAATTCTATTGTGTTTTATTGTGAGAGTTGGTAAGCCAGATGTATAAAATGGAGGAGATATTATACTTCATTTCCGTGTAAGTTGTTCTTATCATCCATAGCCCATAGTAATATAATTACAGGGTACAGTGTTTTAATTTTCCTCCTTGAATCTTTTATTCGAGGTACATGTATTTATTTCATAAAATTGCTACTCACAACAATGACAATATCTGACCTATTACGACACCTATTTCATTTTTATTTTTCAAATAATAAGATTATAGTTTACAATGTGTGGGTCTTTAAAATGATATTGTATTTTACAAAGTGTAGATCTTAAAGATGTATTATGTAAGATAGGTCTTTAAATAATATTGTATTTTACAAATTGTGGGTATTAAAATAATATCATGTTACAAAGTTGTGTATTTCTTAAAATGTATATTTCACAAAGTTGTTCAGTTTCTAATATAATATCGTATATGTTAAAAAGTGGTATCATATGTTACCAACTTGTGCAGTCTTAAACATAGTTTTATGAGACTTTGCCTGTTGCCCTTAACTGATCCCAAATTAAGATTAGTGTATACTATTTATAAACAGTTGTTCATGTTGTAATTCAAATAATCAATGCAACAACAAAGTGCTAGCTATACAAACTGTCCAAAGTGTCTTCGCATATTTCTTAAGTCTTTTCTGGATATCAAGTGTCAACGCGAGAAAATAAAAGGAATTGAAAAAAGATTGTATATACAGTACCATTGTATATACTGGAAAATTACATTTAATACCAGTACATATACCTTCTCAGTGTCAAGAAAAATGGGGTTACTGATTTAGAAATAGATTGGTAATATGTCGAAATTGCTCTGTGCCACATTGTTATATGGTATATCTCTGTGTAACACAAACAATAAGATTAGATTTATATAAATAATAGCACAGGTAAGTTGATATATTATGGTTTACCGTAAACAAGGTCAGCAGTCTATTTAACATATGTTTTTTAATGAATGACAGGTTTTTAGAAAGCCGGATTATATGTATATGTGCAACAGATTAATTAATAATCGTTAATTAATTCGAAATTTTCGTGTTTTTCTCTAGTATTATATTAATTACACTTTTATTAATTTTATGTTTTATTTTATAGAATGTTTGATGTAACTACCGATCAAAACGTTCAGGTTTAATAGCCATGTGTAATAAAACGAAGATTAATAGACTTTGTGTGTGGCAATTATTATATTACATAAATGAAATTACATTTATTCAGTGCGGGATTTACCTAATCGGCTTTATAGACCCCAAGGTCGGAGAGGAGTGTTCAAGTCTATAATATTTTTCACGCTGTATAAGCTTTAATCTTAAACATCCGTTATCATTCTTAGCTTTGCTCAAAATTGTGTTTAAAACACACCTTCATCTTTCTCTAGTCGTGAGGATTTCGGATTGGGAGCGACCTCATGTGGCTGAAATAGGCCTGGGCCTCTTCTCATCTAAATACGGCACTGCATAATTTATAAAATGTTTAAGAGAATATTTTGAGCTAGAGCTTTTGTATTTAAATCACGGTACTGTTGGCTATTGGTCACTAGGTTATCATCCGCACACCAGTTGCAGCATCTGAAATCCTCATTTATCAGCGGGTATCGTGCACGGAGTAAGGTATGCAACGCTCTGTAGAACACTGTTTAATTAAGTTATGTCTTGTATTTTTCTTTGTTATTATTTATTATTAAAGCATTAGGTACATTAATTACGAGTTTTATAACTTGTAACTCGTATTTATGTAAGCACAACATGAATCGAATGCGGCATTAGTGTCAGATTATGTAATTGAGCAGACCTTTTGGGCAGCCGTAAAACACCCCCTCTTTTAAAATAGTTTGTTTAGATGTATCTATTTCTTACTACTTACCATTTAGTTTCATTAGATCTAGTTAATTAAGTTAAAGTCAAGCATGACGTCAGTTATTTATTTGAAACTTTTCTAATTAAAATGTCTAATCTAATTACCGAAAGGAGAACTCTTAAACCAGGCATTAATTATATTCTTTGGTTTGTGTGCACCTTTACACATTCTTTTTGTGGGTTTTTTTCAAGAACTATCTCCTACAGTGATTTATATCACAGAATAATGCTGTTTGCCAATTGTATTGTGGCTTTGGATTTCACATGAATGAATAATATACAATTTTGTTTCGATTTTATTATATTTCCGATGGTCTCCACTACATGAAGATTTGACGGGCTGTAGTGGGGTCAAATCAGGGGCCATTTGAACTATATAAAATGTAAAGAAATAGGATAAGATTGAAACACATGTTGCATTTTGTAGCAATTGGCCTAATTAGCTGATTTTCATATATTCTACAAAGAAATAATGATACTAATTTTTATACGCCCACATTTTCATGTGGACGTATATTGTCGTCGCCCCTGTACAGTTCACAATTTTTATTCGATTTTGACGAAACTTAAAATATAGGTCTGTTTCCTAAAGATCTCGGTTCCTTTCGATATTGACATATATCCGACCATAACTTAATGGATTATGGCTCATGGTTGTACGAAAATCACGTTTTTAGCTTGTGGAAATTCTAGAGGTCACAATTTTCATCTGATTTTGTTGAAACTTGAAATGCATTTTTATAACTCAAAGATCTTGGTTCCTGTCGATATTTGCGCATATCGGATCGTAACTTCCTGTCCCCTGATTGTACGAAAAATCGCGTTTTCAGCTTGTGGTCACTCTAGGAGTCACAATTATTGTCCGATTTAAAATAAAACATTCGAATATATCACCGGTACATGGTAATGATGCTTGAGTTCGAATTTCTTGAAAAACGGACCAAAAATGCCGGACAATATGGTCGCCCCTCATACGCAAATAGTGTAAATATATGGTATTTCAAGGTTGTAGACCCTCTAGAGAACACAACTTTTATCTGAATTTGATGAAACTTGAAATATATCTTTATAACCAAAAGATCTTGGTTCCTGATGATATTCGCGCTTATCAGATTGTAACGTCCTGAATTATGGCCCGTGATTGTACGAAAAATCGCTTTTGGTTTAGCTTGTTCTTTATCCATCTCTTTCAAAATGTGGGCGTATATACCTGACAGCCGTTGGTAAATCAACCCAACTGGATGAATTTCATTTTTTGTCATTTCAGAAGTAAGATGGTGATTCGGATGGTGCTTATCGGAGAGTCCGGTACCGGAAAGAGTTACACGGCTAATTCCATATTGGGGAAGAGTTTGCTTCGAGTGAGTAGTAAAGGCGTACCCACGACCAAATCATGTACAGTGGGAGAAACCGACCGATTTGGAACTAAATTCAAAATTGTCGATACGCCGGGCTTTCTCGGTGGGGATTTGGAAACTAATAATCATATGAAAAAGATAGTTGAGTTAACTCATCCGGGACCCCAGGTATTTCTGTTTACGTTTAACTGTGGCTCGCTGTTCTGTGAAAATGACTTGGGTGTGATAAATTTGTATAAAGAATATTTTGGTGATGATATCTATAACCATGGGGTAGTTTTATTCACACAGAAAAATTCAAAGTTTTGTAAAGGAACGCCTTCTTCTTACATACGATCCTCTCCAAAAGCATTACGGGAACTTGTGGAGTCGTGTGGAAATCGCGTAGCACAGATCGACAATGCTTATCCTGCTGATATTGACGTCGATGTTAGAAATCTCATCAGTATTGTGGTGGATTTGGTTAACGAAAGAGATCTACGTTATTTGACTTTAGATTCGGTCAATAATAATCACAGTGACGGAGTTAACTCCTTAAATGTAAACGTTGGGGTATCCCAAACAAGACATTCTGGTTCTGTTACATCCAAAAATAGTGATTCCAATAAAGACATTTCCACTCCACATGTTAAGGGAGCAAATAGTTCTCCAAAAAAGCCTTGCCTAATGTACAACTGTTCGGACGAACTTGTAAAGCAACAAATGAAGTTGCTCGGAGATGAAATGTCAAAAATGTCCTCGCTGGAGAAAAGACTGAAAGAAAAGCAAGATCTCCAGAAGTTATCGTCCAGCAAAAGCAGTGATGTAGTGTGGTATAAAATGGTGGATGATGGCATATCACTGATTACACAATTTAATCAGTGTATTAAAGATATATTTGAAGATGATGCAGCTGGCCTTCTACCAAATGAAAATGTTCGCTGATCGAAGCATTGACATAAAATCCAAAACTTTGTCGATGTTAACGTGCCAATTAATCTGTGTTTCGTTCGTCTGCGTCATTAATCTTTGTTATTGACTGACGTAGTAGTACACAAGTAGTTATTGTTTGTAATGTTCATGCTTAGTGAAGTTATTGTTAAATTGTGAGATTTTAATTCAAAATACGTCTGAAGAAAACCAGTATGTATTGTTAACTTGGCCCAAAGTAGTCATTAAGTGCAATGGCCGTGAATTTTATAACCGTATATACAAGTATTGCTTTACACAATCCTGTCTTGAAATGTTATTTTTGGAACGGTATTGTTTTACTACCAGTATTCATAAAGTGTATTTTTCAACCATTAAACTTATTGAAACTGAAGACTGGGATTTATTTGTTATCTTGGTATTAAGGCAAATTGTTAATCTACCATGTAAAGTTGGACAAAAAAAATTACACTGGGACATGTTAAAATTATTTTTAGATATTTGAAATTTTGCTATACGTTATATGTAAAAACGAATAAAATTCTAAATATATTCATATGGTAATTTTGTCTTACCTGTACATGAATAGTTATCTCCCCTTTCACCTCACAAATATCAATTTTGTCTCTGTTGAGCCCAAGTTTTAATTACCCTTTTCTATCTATCTACATGCAAATACATAAAGATGTTTTACACGTATATTCATGCCGTGTCCAATTGAAATAATAAAACATGTTAGATATGCAATGGGGCTTTACGTCTGTTGGAATACGGTAATATTATGCTAGCTCTCTCTGTACGTTGATGTTTTAAATTTAAACTGCCCATATATAAATAACAAACAAATACTTGTATAAGTACTGCTATGTGAATATATATTTGGTAGTCTATGAAACAAAAAATTCAAAGATAGCCCCATAATTACAGACAACACAACAACAACAATTGTCGATAAGTGAACTTTCCGGGCAAATAAGAAGTAATACCTGATAACCACAAAAAACGTGGACCCAATAAGAGACAAATTGCACTATAAAGACACAGACAGATAAACACTAATTACTAATGTAGATAGTGGATTTAAAGCGTTACATGAATTGTATTTTACATTACAGGTAAAACCACCTATTAATAAAAAGTAATTAAATCTGTAAGTGTCTTAACAAATAAAGTAAAAATATGTTCTTCATCACACAAGCCAGTTCATTCTTCAGGGTAGATTGTGGTTCTATCATCAGATGTGTTTAAGTCCACAGTAACAACTGCTCTTGCATTAAAATAGGACATATTTCAGATATATATGAAAAGTCCGCCCCCAATTAATGGACATGTACTCTTTACAAGCAGTAACCAAATCGAACTATATAACTTGACGCACAATTAATTTTTTTATCTGATGGTAAGTGATGTATTACATTAAAAACATGGTGTTTACTTAGTTAAACAGAGACGATGAATATAACAAGCGAGTTCGCGTGTAGCGTATTTTTAACCTTTTAATATTATTGTTGTGGGGTTATTTGTAATCAACAATGTCAGACCACTTAGTTTTTTTAGATCCTGATAAACACCTTTTTTAGATCCTGGTAAATGTTTTCATCTCTGATGGATTTTTCCGTAATGTCTAGCTATTAGAGTATTAATAGTTCCATTATAGAATTAAAAATATATTACCTCGAGGTTAGTAAGGTCATACATTCGTCTTATTTTTTTATCTGCAAATACGCTTCCAATGAACAGAAAAAGTAGTTGTTTCATCGCATGCAATCATCCTGAAAAAAATACCACCATCACCAGTCTCATTTTATTGAAAAAAAAAGAAGAAAACAGATTGCCATAAAACCATAATCTGTTGCCTGGGGTAGACGGACGTTTCGGCCAGTAAAAATTTCACCTAAGACGTTTCGACTAGTGGACATTTCGGTCTAGTACGTTTCGGCCAAAGGATGTTTCGGCCAATGTCACAAAAAATGTTTTTTAAAGAATTTAAAGGGAACACCACGTCCAGAAACTTGCAGATTCCTATGTTTGGTGCGTGGACGATAACTACGCAATGGCACCCAGTATTCTTATGCAGTTTTATGTCATCCAGGGTCGTATATCAGGAGTTTTTGTTCCATTTGTGTACGTACTTTTATAAAGAAAGTCTCAGACAACTTATAAATTAATGTTTCAACTGTTATAATAAACTTTGAACGCTCTGTAGGTCTTGCTCTCCATGCAGTGTATGGACCACAAGTGCAGATTCAGGAGACGGTTTTATCACCATACTCAATCAACTTGGAGACACATCCAGTCACTAGGACTTGCAAACATGTACAAAAAAGTAAACGAGTTCAGACTTATTTCAAAACAATATATTTGTCGCAGTAAAATCAAACAAAAAAACCCCAAAATACACAGCAAAGAAAAGAGTTGTAGGAGAAAACAAACAAATAAATCTGGCCGAAACATCCTCTTTCTAAAAAAAAAAATGTCCAAAAAGTCCCAGGACGAAATGTCTTAATCCAAAACGTCCTACATTCGTTGACTGGAGAATCAATAAAAGAATCGTCTAAAAATATCTTTAAAACCGAGTGCATTCTTTCGATATTTACCTGCAGATTGTTACCGTCATGCTATTAAAAATCGAATAACTGAAGACTAATAGAATTCTTCCTCTCGACATAAGCTGTAATGCATTATTATATCTTGTTATGATATCTAATTGCCGTAGCCTTATTCTAAGTACTAGATGTGTTAGTGTCCTACCTGTTGTGTACATTATCCATTAAATCCTATTTAACTTGTCCAGAGGGTTCAAAAATATTTTTAAATCCAAGTAACATTTGAAAAACTTTACGTCAGGCTTTTCAAATCATTTAGTTGAATTTTCCAATTTTTTAAATTAGGTGTGTTAAGATGAAATTTGTATCATCAATTAATTGGAATATTGTAAAATAGTACAATTTGTTGACCAGAATAAAGTTTGGGACATATTATTCGGTTACAATAGTGGTATTGAGCCTTTAACCAGTGATTTCTGAATTATTAGCAAATCTTAAACCTTGCCGATTAGTTTGCCCATCTTAACCCAGATCTCCACATTAACTATGGGAATCGACAAATTAGGACAATTCTCTAATTTTTATCTACAAACTGTCATCAGTCATTCTTTCGACAAAACTACTGTTTACCGATGAGCCTAATTTAGATGACAGTTTCAGAACCAAGAAATTATTTATCAGTTTGATCTAAAAAGAAAAATATGTATGTGCCTCATTGTCCGATACATGTACGTAACAAACTTGAGCTTGTTTGTTTCTATGAAACTCATCAGAATCAGAATCGATAATAGAACTACCGATATCTGAACTTGAACAGGTGTGGTGAAGGGCCTTTCTTCCCTTTGGAGAAGAGGGGCTATGGGCAGACTCTAGGAATCATTTTAACATTATATCTGAACTTTTTCTCATTCTTCTAGATGATCTTGAATCCGTATCTAATATTTCAGAATGGTTGCTAATTTGGAAATAGGCTGCCCCGTACTCCCAAGCTGCGATACATAATATTCATGGTATCTTGAACTGATAATAACACACCAGGTTGCTTAGCCTGTTTTTAAAGTGTGTCACAGGGAATAGGGGTACCCTCACTAGGTATTTCATCTTCTGAAACAGCTCGTTCTTCATTGGTGACAGTATTCGACGCCATATTGGCGAAACAGGCTAACGCGTTCTCTCAGGTCGGGTCGACAAAAGCGTAGCAAACAACGAAGAATAGAAGTTGTGTCAACTACAGAAAAGATAGAACGAAATAATAGAACTTAAACATCTTGACCGAATGTGCCTTATCTAGGAAGAAGCAATTCTACCAAGAAAAGGGCCATGGGTAAAAAACACATATCACGTGACCAAGAAGTTCACATGGTTTTGGAGTGACGTAACTATGATGATGTAGAATTGTATTTTGCCTGGGTTGTCTACTTATACGAAATCAATAATATGATCCAATCCGACTACAACCCCCCCCCCCTCCCTGCAGATTTTCAACAACGGATCATATCTTGAACCTTGATCGATAATCGACCACCAAAACAAAACAGCTGGCTCGCCAGCCAGAAGATCCGGGGTTCGGTCCAGATTTCCCAGCGTGGTTTCACCTATTAAGTGGCGCAGGACGGATAGCCTGGCAAGGAACAGTGCCTGATAGCTCAGATGGGACGAAAAGACGAGATACCGTTAAGACGTTGGCGTGTTCGTAAAAAAAACCCCCAAACTTTCATTCATAACACATACATATTTTCTAAAATAGTGAATATATATTGTAAGTCATACAAATATCGGCGATTTTGAAAGAGAATTGAATTCTATATGGCCTTATCTGATATCATAATGTAATAAATACTATAGTAACCCACTTGTTGACTTTAGAATAAACATTCTCCATAGCTACATGAGGAATATTGATTTGAAACAAGAAACGTAGAATTTTACGATGTAACTTGTTGTATGCATCAACTACACATTGATCGTAGAACAGATTTATTAGTATTCGACATTTGTTTTTCATATAATCAACTTCCAACATGACAGAATGAAGATGCTAATGATTGTTTACAACACAAGAAAGCAGGTTGTTGGCAAAAAGACATTCATTTTAAATTCTTTTATAGAGCTTGGTTTGCGTGTTCAAGTCTCGCAAAATTTTAATTTATAGCGCATATTAAACACCCATCTAATTTAATAACGATTATCAAACTTCCACAAATATCCACAAATGAAGATAAGATCAATAGGTTTAACATAAGTATGAGACTATACAAATGTACATGTTAAACAAAAATCACGTCGATCGAACCTGTCTTAAGTTCAACTGTACTCCCACTTCTTGTTGTTTTTTTTGTTAGCAATAGAAGCTACTGTTTTTCAATTGTTCTGATTTGGGGTCTCTGGGGTTTAACGAGCTCTCGACCTTTAACCCACACCTTAAGCCTTAATATGAATACGCTAGATGGTCCATAAATATATTTATAGTAAACTATATACCGACCACTCTTGGTCGTTTGAGGTTTACATAAAATGTTACTGGTTTTAATGACGCATTGTTATGTCTCTAAATGCAATTATATGGTATCTGATTTGCATCCGTTTACACCGAGTTCATGACTAAACTAACCTATAACTTTTCTTTTTGTCGTCTTAATTTTCATTTTTAACGGTCTGTTTGCGAGTGAAACTAATAGTTTTGCGTGGGTTTTCGCTACGTTTGGTTTAAACGAGATGAGTACTTTCAACTGTCACTGTTACTCCTTTAACAGCATATCTCGTTCTGATTAATTACGAGGTAATTGACTAGCTGTTAAAATTCGCAATTTGAGACAACAATTCTCGTTCAAACCAGTAAGGCTTTTACTGGCGTTCCATAGAAACACAAGTTTACCAGACAACAAGGTATTGGGAACATGGACAAAAGCGTTTCTTCACAAAGAAATAATAAGCCTCCCTATTTTTGATATTGTTCTTCCGGATTAGCCGAATATCAAATCAACTCTAACCTGTAGAGCGTTTAAAAGTT